TTTTTTTTTTTTTTTTTTTTTGGTGGTACTACAGTATGAACTCAGGGCTTCGAGCTTGCAAAGCAGGTGCTCTCCCATTTGAGCCATGCCTCCAGTCCATATTCTTCCTAATTTCTTTGAGCAATGTTCCTCTAGTTTTCAGTAAGTCTTTTGTCTTCTTGTTTAAGTTTATTCCTAAGTAAACTTTTTCTTCTTTTTTCCCCAAGGTACTAGGAATTGCTAGGCAGGCCCTCTACCTCTTGACCCACACCCAGTCCCTAAATAAACTTTTTGATGCTATTATAAGTAGGGTTATTTTTTAAATTCTTTTTCAGATTATTCACTGAAACAATGGATTTTTGCATGTCAGTTTTGTATCCTGCAACTTTGCCAGATTCATTGATTAATTCCAACAGTTTTTTTTGTTTTTTGGGGTTTTTTTTTTGTGGATTCTACAGCATTTTCTACATAAATGTTCATCTTTGAGCAGAGATGTGCTTTCTTCTTCCCCTCCAGTCTGGATGCCTGCCATTTCTTTTTCTTGCTTAATTGCTCTGGCTAGGAGTTCTAGGACTGGGTTGAATAGAAATGGCAAAGTGGGCATCATTGCCTTGGTGTGAACACAGGGGAAACACATTAGGCTTTTCGCCAATGAGTGCAATGTCAGCTGTGCACAGCCCCCTTATTAAACTTTCCTGGAATTGCCTAGTTTGGGTGTGTCCTGCGTTTCCTGCAGGACCCAGGCTGACACATCTGTGTGAGGTGTAAATGAGCTAGACACCTGGCAGGCTATAGAAATGCTTATTCCAGAGTCAGGTAATGATTTTCATGGCTAGTTCTGGGCTTGATGCTGCACAGGAGTGTGCCAGCTTCAGTGATCAGCAAAAATTTGCCTAGAACAACTTTACTTTTCCAGATGGCCAGCCTTTTAAGCAGGAGATAAGACTGGTCTTAGATTGGTAGTTACTTACGTATGTGAGCATGTACATTTTCTTTCAGAAAGACTTTTTTTTAAACACTTTGCTGCTTTATTGTTCAAGTGCTTAGGCAATCATGAAATGAAGAAGTTAATACTATGAGTATCAACAATTCTTATATGCAGTCTAGGAGGCCCAGTGCCAGGAGCTTAAGAGTCGGACCATCCTGGGTTCTGTTTTTTGGGTTTTTGTTGTTTTTTTTTGTCACTTAGTTAACTTTGTGAGCTTGAGAAATTTTTTAAACTTTAAGGAACCTGAGTGTCAGAGCATCCACCTTCAGATGTTGTATTAGGATTAAGTGAGATAGCATATGTGAAGGGCCTGACACATAATAAATGCTCTGTAACTAGTATTAATAATTAAAAACTTTCTTTAAATTTGGGAGCTATGTTCAAAGTGGGTGGATGAAATATGTGTGTATATTTGTGGTGCTGGTGATCCGATCCAGGGCCTTGACATGTTAGGCAAGCACTGTACTACTGAGCTATATCCCCATCCCTGAAAAAAAGAGGGTGTTTTTTTTGGTGGTATTAAGGTTTGAACTCGGGGCCTTGTACTTGCTAGGCAGGTGCTCTACCATTTGCACCACATCCCTAGCCCCTTGAAGAAAATATTTGTAGCTTTCTACTATGCATTGCTGCTGTGTGCACATGTTCATACCTGGGCCTTCTTAAAGCCTTGCTTTCTGGTCCGTTATTATAATTCTGCTGGGTGATGATGGCTCCATGGCACAGTGAGGTGCAAGCCAAGTGAAACTCAAGAGCTAGCATTCCAGGAGGTAGAGTGTGGAGGTGTAAAGCTAACCATGTGCTTTTGTCCTCTGGCTTGTCCTGAACTTGAAATGCTGTTGTCTGTTCACTGACCTTGCAGAAAGGAAGGCTATTAAAATAGACTGTAAACTGGGAGGGCAAGGGACGCAGGTCTGAGGAAGCTACTTTGTCTGACTCAATGGTAAAGTGGACTTCACTGCCTGCCCAAATGATTTATTAACAAAAAAAGAAGTTTACAAAATGAAAGGTGGAACCTCCTCATGAAGCAAATTCCAGCAGCTCTTAACTTTTTATTGTACAGGAATTACATGACTGTCTTGAATAATAAGAGAGAATTAAAGAGAAAACAAATTCAGTCACCTAAAATCCTCTACCCATAAATTACTGTTGATAATATTTTCATGTACTACCTTGAGGATATTCCAGCTATCTAAAATGAGTCTCTGTCTATCTGCCTATCTATATAAATACATACATATTAATTGAGAATGGGATTATTTCATACTATGGGTCTGTAACCTAGAGTTTACTCTTACTGTGTATATCCTCTCCTGTCAGTAATTAGAAATCTATGTTTTAAAATGGCATTGACCATTTTAGCACGTTTTGCCTTAAATACAGTCACACACTCAAATTTCTAAATTATTTTTACTGTTCATTATTGTAAATCAAGCTCTGCAGTGGTTTTCTTTTCATTTATTTTTCTGTCACATTTCATTTACTTTCTTGTATTTTTTTTTTTTTTTGCAGTTGTGTGTGTGTGTGTGTGTGTGTGGTACTGGAGTTTGAACTCAGGGTCTAGCGCTTGCCAGGCAGGGGCTCTACCCTTTGTGCCATGCTTCCCCCACGTTTTTAACTTAGTTATTTTTCTGATAGGGTCTTGCCTTTTCCCCCTAGGGCCAGCCCAGACCAGGATCCTCTTTTCTCTACCTCTAGAGTAGTAGGGATCACGGGTCATGCCACCAAACCCAGCTTGTTGGTTAAAATGGAGTCTGGCTAACTTTTAGCCTGGGCTGGCTTTGAATTGTGATCCTCCCGATCTTGCCTGTACAGTTGGAATTATAGGTGTGAACCACCACTCCTGGCCTGCAGTCATTTTCTTAAATATAGTATCTGAAATTGTGGCTCTCCCTGCCAGTCAAAGTATTTACTTGTAGGCAAATTCTCTGTCTTTGATTTCTTTTGTGTATCTTCCACAGCACCCAGAATAGTTTTCTAGCAGGCAGATCTTTCTTTGTTGCTGAATTTGACATTGAAAAAGATAAAGGCATATATAGGTCATAGCTGTAATATCATTATTTTTCTTCTTCTACCTAATCTTTTTTTTGGGCAAGGGAACTGGGTTTGAACTCAGGGTTTCATACTTTCTAAGCAGGTGCTCTAATGCTTGGGCCACGCCCCCAGCCCGTTTTGATTCAGTTGTTTTACAGATAGAGTCTCTTCCTTTTTGCCCAGTCTGGCCTGGGCTACAATCCTCCTATTTTATGCTTCTCATTGTCGCTGGGATGCAGATGGGAACCACCACATCCAGCTTTTTCCTGTTGAGATGGGGTCTTGCAAACTTTTTTACTTGGGCTGGCCAAGAAATGCAATCCTACTGATCTTAAGGCCGTCACTACCTGTCAGCCTTTCAACACAAATAGGAACAATTTCAAGACTTCCTTATTCTTTGCGTTGCCTGTGATAATTGTGGTTCTGGCAGAACCCTTCCATTTCCTAAGCATTTTTCATGTTGTTGCGCAGATCCTGGAGTACCTGTTACTATCACTCCTGTTTTACAGCAGGGAAAGCTAAGGCTAAGAGTTGAGGTATGTGCTGTGCCGTACCTGCTGCCTTTTTATCTTACCTGGATGACAGTGTGTGTGTGTGTGTATCCATGATGTTGCTTTCAGGCACCAATCACATAGAAAAATGGAGTAAACTCTGTACATGTGTGAAAAGACTACATACCTATTTTGCAAGATAAACCTAACATGCATTTTTTTCAGGAGAGAGTTATGCCAGTGCCGATCTAACTAGACTTGCTGGCCATCTTCAAGATAATCTAAAACTTCCCACTCTGGAAATACCATCCAGCGAAGACGCTGTCTGTGTCAGTAGCTCCTGGCAGGCTTGTTTCTTTGCCGAGGTCAGGTTCACTTACAGAAGGGCTGATTCTACTTTTCTTTCTCTCTCCCTGCCTTCCGATCATCAGCTATGACAGAGACTCCACTTTCAACGTGTTTGTGGGGAAAGGCCAGCTGATTGCAGGGATGGACCAAGCTCTGGTCGGGATGTGTGTAAATGAGAGGCGCTTCGTGACCATCCCCCCAAAACTTGCCTACGGAAATGAAGGAGTTTGTAAGTTTTTGTTCTGTGTTTAGAAAGAACCAGAGCATTTGCAGGCTGTTTGTTCAACCAGACTGGAGAATTTTTGGAAGCTTTGCTTGGGGAAAATTTAAAGCAGTGAACACAACCAGCTAAAATTTCCATCTCGGGTTTATCCCTTCCAGAGATGAAAGACGGTGTCATTGACAAGGGCATATCAAATGATACGCTTCAAGAGAGGGGAATCTTGGTTTTTCTCCGTTATTTTAATTTCATTTGGAGGAAAGATAGAGAAAGAATAGTTCATTTTGGAATGACCAGTGACTGGCTTGAACTCTTTCAGCTTCCACTCACATTGGCAGCATTCTAGGTATTTATTTGGCTCAAAAGGCAGCAGTTTCTCATTGTGAACTCTCTGTATTTCAAGCTGGTGTGATCCCCCCAGACTCGGTGCTTCATTTTGATGTACTTCTGATGGACATTTGGAATTCCGATGACCAGGTTCAGATTCACACTTACTTCAAGCCCCTGAGTTGCCCTCGGACCATCCAGGTGTCTGATTTTGTCAGGTACCACTACAATGGAACATTCTTGGATGGGACACTGTTTGATTCCAGGTAAGTCCTGCTGTTCATGGCAGCATCTGTGAAATGCCCCTTCAGTCCTTGTGGCTTGCCTGCATTCTATGCCCGTGAGGAAACCAGAAATGGACTCTTCTGACCTTTAACCAGTACCATCTGCCCTACGTAAGACTTTTTAAAATTTTTTTGTGGTATTGGGGTTTGAACTCAGTGCCTTGCACTTACTAGACAGGCACTCTACCAACTTGAATTATGTTCCCGAGCCCTTTTATGCGTCAATTAATTTTTAGATAGGGTCTTGCATTTTTTTGCCTAGGGAAGTTCTGGGCCTGGATCCTTCCTGAGTAGCTGGGATTACAGATGCAAACCACCCTGCCCAGTTTATCTGTTGAGATAATTTTTGCCAGGGCTGGCCTCAAAACTAAATCCTCCTGATCTTCACCTCCCAAGTAGCCATTACACCTTGCTGTTACCTAAGACGTTTGGTTAGTGTTTTATGCTTCATGATGCGAGGGTCAAAATCTAGTACATTTTATAAAAATCTAAAATCAATGCTTATCTCATTTAACAGTGTTTTAAGATCTCATCATTAAATGAAAAGCCATATTTCCTAGTAGGTACATGTGTGTTTTGGCTCATTTTTGTAGTTTTTCCATGGAGGCAGAATAGGAAAATGCAGCTGTGGGCAGGTATGGGGCTAAGCTAGAGACTGGGGAGCTGTTTGATGAGAGGAATAACTGGCCTGTTTTCATCAATCACTGATATAAACGTGAGCATTTCTGCTCTGAGTTTGGGAGCAAAGATCCCTACATGCCTGTCTCTGGGGATGGCCATAGCTCCATGTTTAACCTGAGATTTGAGTAACAAAGACCTTCCCAAGGGATGGGTTGGAAACACATGGTATGAGCCTTTCCCCTTTCTCATTGGTTTTCAGTCACAACCGCATGAAGACCTATGACACATATGTGGGAATTGGCTGGCTGATTCCCGGGATGGATAAAGGGCTGCTGGGGATGTGCGTGGGGGAGAAGCGCATCATCACCATCCCGCCTTTCCTGGCCTACGGAGAGGAGGGAGACGGTAAGCTCTGCTCTTCTCAGAGCCTTTCTCATCAGTCCTGATTTTTATTGTGATTCATTCCATTGTGAGCCCATGAAACCCACCAGGCCTTTTGGGCTAGACCAGTACTGTCCACTATGGCAGCCACTAGCTACATGTGGCTGTTGCATTCAAGTGAAAATGATAAAATTAGAGAAAATTGAAATTCGGTTCCTTGGTCACACTGCCACATTTCATTTGGCTGAGGGCCACTGACTGAGACAATGCAGAACATCCTGTTGGACGGTGCTGTCCTAGAGAATTGCTGTTTGAAACTCACTCAGTGTGGTACCTGGCATTCATACGTAAGCACTGTTCCAACCTCAGCAGTTGTGGACTTGGGCACTGACTTCTCTGTGAAATGAGATTTGGTTTAGGCAGTCAACAGGTTGGAGACATCAAAGTAGAAATTTAGCTGCATGATGTCAAAATTGCCAAATTTTTCCTGGTTTATACCTTTGTGATAGGTTTTGCCTATGACATTAGCTCCATGTGGACTCCATCAAAGCATAATGTTAGAAAATACGTTAATTAAAATTAGTTTCCTGTGAAGAGAAACAGAATATTGGCTGATAAATAGGATTTCTTAGCTACTCGTATTTGAATTTCAGGCCTATTTAATCATACTGAAGGGCTGACACAATAAGAGACCTCTGGGCATTCAAGTCGCAGGTATACATGGAGTAAAGAGTAGAAATGAGAATATGATACTGTTTAAGAAGTTGATAGTGAGGCTGGTGGAATGGCTCAAATGGTAGTGTGCCTGCTTAGCAAATGTGAGGCCCTGAGTTCAAATCCCAATACAGAAAAAAAAAAGTTGATAGTCTACCCCACTTATAATAGCCAATATAATGTTTTTCCCAGCTATTTCTGCCTCTTAGGTCTGTAGAACAGGAACAGGGAATCCTGGGTGATCCTTATCTACCTCCATTTTATATATTTGCATGCTTGAGATTTGCACTTTCTTTTCTTTTTCCTCCCTCCCTCCCTCCCTCCTCCCCCCCATCCTTCCCTCCCACAGTACAAATAGTTTCTTCAAAGAAGGTGGGAGAGCGGGTAGGTGTAGTATCCTACTAAAAGAAATGAAGTTTGAAAACATCACCATAAATATGTCTTAATTCTCCCCTCCTGAAATACAAGTTATTCTTGATGTTCAGATTGTCTCATCCTTGGCCAGTGGGAGTTTATTCACCTCGACCCCTAAATCCTTTGGCTGCCATCCACATAACAAAACAAGATGCCCGCCTAATATGAAGACTGTTATTTATTTATTTTAAATAAATAATTAGCCAGGTGCCTGTGGCTCACGCCTGCAATCCTAGCTACTCAGGAGGCAGAGATCAGGAGGCTCGCAGTTCAAAATCAGTACAGGCAAATAGTGCACAAGACCCTATCTTGAAAAACCCTTCACAAAAATAGAGCTGGCAGAGTGGCTCAAGGTGAAGGCCCCAAGTTCAAGCCCCAGTACCATAAAATAAATAAATAAATAATTTAAATAGCTTATTGAATTTAAAGTATGCTTTTTTAAATTTGAATACTATGCTCAGCTATCCAAGTATATCTTTAAATGGATGAATTATGCGGTATGTGAATTATATCTCTGGAAAGCTGTAAAAATATTCAGTTAATGCATGTTAACATTTGAAAAATATAAACCACAGAGTTACTTTTAAGACTTTTTTTTTTAGGACTGGGATGTAGCTCAGTGGTAAAGGGCTTGCGTAGTGTGCACAAGGCCCTGGGTTCGATCCCCACCACCACAAAAGAAAAACAAGCTTTGGTTTTTTTTTATTTTTAGCGAAGAGATAAAGTATAAAAGATCACTTCTGTCACATGCACACACCCTCTTCTGGGACTGGCCACACCTTGCATTCCAGAGGCTGAATCAGCAGCCTGCTTGCCCCAGATTTCATCATCCTCTAGGGAAGGCATGCAAGGGGTGGGTTCTGCATGGCTTGACTGAGGAGCACTGGCCTGGGATGCCACCACCTAAGTACTTGCCCAAGTCACCCCCACCTTTGCATGATGGAGGAGCCCACTTGTCAGTTAACTTTCTTTTATCCCAGGTTACTAGATTTCGGGTTATTTATTGGTTAGTGTTGATCTTTGCAGAAAGAGCTCATGCCCTGTAGTGCCACGTGGATTAATTATCCTTTGCTGAAATGTCTACTCACTTAGGCCATTTGTGTTCACAAATAATCCCCTGCCCCCTGCCTTACCAGCTGCAGTCTCTGGCACTAACTGAAATGAGATTTGAACTAGACAGTCTAAAGGTTATGAGCATCAGGTAGAAATTTTACCATATGATGTCAGAATTGCCAAAATTTTCCCAATTTGCCCCTCTGTGATGTGTTTTACCTGTGACTTTCACTTCATGTGGACAAAATCGAAGCATAGTGTTAAGAAATACATTAATTAATTCAACTTATGCAGAGGGGCCCCTCGGTCGGACCCAGCGGCGGGGATGGGCGCAGTTTTGCTTGCTGGTGAGAATGCGGGAAGGTCACCGGCCGAGGGGAGGTCCGGGGAGCACAGGAGGCCTCGGGAGCACCGACACCATGTGGGTCTAGGTGCGCCCCGTGGATGGTAAGGAAACACACCATCGACTGACTCACTGTCCAGGCTGACCAAAGTGGAAGAGCTGAGGCGGAAGATTTTTTTTTAAAAGAAATACATTAATTAGAATTAGTGCAGACACAGTAGTCTTTTAGTACCTGTGGGAGATTAATTCCAGGATCCCTTGAGGAACCTGAAAGCTTCAGATGTTCAAGTTCCTTATATAAAAATGGCGGAGTACTTGCATATAACCCACACACATTCTCCTGTATATTTTAGACTATTTACAGTAACTAATATAGAGCAAATGCTATGTAAATAATTGTCATACTGTATGCATTGCCATGTTATGTCAGTGTAGACTTTTTTTGTTTTGTTTTGAAAATTTTCCATATTGGGTTGGTTGAATCCATGGATGAGGAACCTATGGATATGGAGGGTGGATGGTATTCAGTGCGTCCCCTCTTAGAACACCCAAGAGAAGCCATATCGTGCAGAAGTGATACAGAAATGACTTGAAGAACTATTTGTATTTTAGGTTGTGGGTGCCATTTTTTTCTGTATTAGCTAACTTTCATTTTATTTATATCTTGTTTTGGATAAAGAATTAAATTTTCCATTTTGCCTTTAAAAAAATAGCTGTTACAATGAAACTCACTAAAAACTTTTAAAAAGGAGAGGGGGGGTTAAAAAAAGTAATGGGGTGAATTTGATCAAAGTACATTATATGCATGTGTGGAAATATCACAATGAAACCCCTTTGTTCAATTAATTTATGCTAATTAAAAAACTGGCTGTTGATTTCAAAGAACAAGTCTATAGTGTTCTCCAGACCATATATGAGCTTTGGAATTTGGTCTTTAAATGTCTGTAATTTCCATTTGTACACGTACACAAATAGAAACTCCTAACAGATGTATCTTTGGGTTTGCATGTGAGTGCAGAACCACCCACGTTGAGCTTTTGTTTTTCACACTATCAGTTTGCTCCTTTTCCTGAATGAGTCAGGCTTTACATTGTACCCATCAGCCCATAGATGAACTCCATGGTGAGACACCAAAATTAGACTGTAGAGGACCACCCAAGACTTGGAAAAACATTTGTTTCCTTGGCTTGAAATCTTTAAGGAATGAGTAACACCAACACAGAGGGTGTGAGTGGTGGTTAAAGTACTTCCTAAATTTTGTGTCCTAATTGAATCATCTTCCTCCATTTCACTCTAGGGAAAGACATTCCTGGCCAAGCATCCCTGGTATTTGATGTTGCATTGTTGGACCTCCATAACCCCAAAGATAGCATTTCCATTGAGAACAAGCTGGTACCTGAAAACTGTGAGCGGAGAAGTCAGAGCGGGGACTTCCTCAGGTATCATTATAATGGCACGCTTCTGGATGGCACTCTCTTTGATTCCAGGTAAGGCAATGACTGAGTCTGTTCACTAGAACTAGCTCATGGTGGACCATGAGCTGAATCTTCTATCAGTGCCGGTTTACACTTTCATCTCCAATACAGGCTTCTGTTTTCTGATTCCAAATTTCTTCCTAGGCTGTAACAACGGTTCCCTCCAATTAGATAGGTCTGTAGGAAAGCAGAAGAGACTCACTCTAGATTTCCACCATACCTCCATCCAAATACAAACCCAATTAAGGGGTCCAAGATGGAGAGTTGTCAGAAGTGAGGTTAAAGAGGTACAGCGGACAAAGAGCCAATCTGTTTCCCGGAGACCTGGGTCCCTGTGTGAGTTTGGACAGCATAAGACTTCTCTGTGCTTCAACTTCTAGCATCTTTCCAGAGATGGTTAGATTAAGGAGATGAGGAAGTCAATGTTAAGGGCTAGCCAGCAGGAGGGGACGGGTCAGAAGCGTTGAATGCCTTTCTTGTGCTGTGGATGCTCATTACTGCACCCAATTTGCTTTATTTTGTTCATCACAGTGCATGTGGCAGGTGTCTAGTATGTCTTGCTCATTCGAGTGGCATGTGTGTTTTGGAAATCACTCCTTCAGCTTCCTGTAAACAAGTAGTGACAGCCACCTCCCTGTCTCTCTGAGTAAATAGACTTCTGGTTGATTTGCTCATCTAAAAACATCACTGAGTTTTTCCAAGTATTTTTTCTTTTGAATAATTCATTCATCTTATTCCTAAGATCTCTTCTTTCATTTCATTCCTTTTTTTTTTTTGGATAAAGCAGTAGTCACATGGTTCAAAATCAAAACAAAGTGTGCATTAAGATATGCTATATACCCATCCCTGTCTACTTCAGATGCCCTTCCTCCTACCACTACAGTTAACCATTTTTTATTAATTTCTTTTACTTTTGCTTTTTTTTTTTTGAGGTAGTGTCTTGCTATGTTGCTCAGACTGATCTTGAACTGCTTGACTCACGCAGTTCTCCTGCCTCAGTCTCCCAAGTGCTGGGACTGTAGGCCTGAGCCACTGCACTTTGCCTTATTATTTTCTAATTTGTTCATTAGCTTCTTTAATTCATAGAAGATGTTATCTATAGCTAATGCTTTATTACACATCATATATATGATTCTCCTTGATATTTTGTAACCTTGGAATTTTTACATATTAATGCACTGAGAAAACTCATTCATTTTATCCATCGCTATAGTGACCCATTGGATGAATCTAATGTATTTATATAACCATTCCCCTATTATTGAACATTTTGGGTTTTTGGGGGTTTTTAGGTGAAACTGGGGTTTGAACTCAGGGCTTAATGTTGCAAAGCAGGCACTCTACTGCTTGAGCCACACCTCCAGTCCATTTTGCTCTGCAGATGGGGTCTCACAAACTATTTGCTGAGGATGGCCTTGAACTGTGATCCTCCTGATCTCAGACTCCCAAGTGGCTAGGATTAGAGGCATGAACCACCAATGTCCAGCCAGCATTTTAAAAAATCTTTTTGTGTTATTAAAAAAATTCTTAATGTGTGTATATATTATTACTTGTTGCATTTTTAGCTTGGTTCTGTGCTTTATTTATTGTAATTATATTTCCAATTAACAGACTATTTTCAAGCCAGGTGCAATGACATGTACCTGTAGTCCCAGCTACTTGGGAGGAGAGGCAGGAGGATCACTTGAGCCTAAGAGTTTGGGGTCCAGCTTGGGCAATACAGCAAGATCCTGTCTCAAAACAAAACAAGCCCATTTTTCTGGGTGCACTGGCTGTCTGTACACATAATGGGGCCACTGTTTTCTTAGGTTTTCAGCAGCTTTCCTTTTTAGTTTTATGGGGTCTAGCCTGTCCTAAGAGCTACATAATATCATTCCAGTCTTTAGATTTGCCTTGATCTAGGCAATCAATCCCTATTGTTTGTCACTTATTTTGTTTTCTACCTTTTGACATTTAAATAGAGTTGCAGTAATTATTTTTGTAGCTAAAATCTAAAAGTATATGATTGTTTCCTTGAGATAAATTTCTAGAAGACTCTCTAGTCAAAGGTTATACCCATTTTTACAGCTTTCCAAATATATACATATATATATATGTATGCCCTCAAGTTGCCCTTAGGCAAGGTTTTACCCCCCTCACTGTCTAAGAGTGTCCCATTCCCTACAGACTCAGTGACACTGGGTACCATTTAAAAATAATCTTTTCTTATTTACAGGAGAAAAATGGTACCTGTGGTTTTAATTGGATTTCTTTGGTTATTACTGAGGTTGAGATTTTTTTCAAATGTTCATGTAGGTATCTTTTTTATTAGTTACCTTTGTCCATTTTTATATTGAGGGTATTGTCACGTGTCCCTTTTTATTGGCTTGAACTGTGTATTAAAGATATTAACCCATGTATCATTGTATATTGTTGAAAGCATTTTGCTCTGTTTCTTTGCGTTTGCATCTTGGCTATTGTCTTTTTTTTTTTTTTATCCTTTAAATTTTTTTTTTTATGTTAAACATAATTGGCTTTCGCTTTGTGGTTTCTATGTTTGGTGACTTGATACAAATCTGTCCCCTCTCTATATGTCTATAAGTCTCTTAATGGTTTTATTTTCTTACTCTTTAAAATATTCTTTACTAGAATTTTTATTTTGCAAAGTGGCATGTTCTTACTGTATAATTGAAACAATGCAAAGATGTATAATGAAAATTGCAATAACTTCCTATCAACCCCTCATTGTCTCCACCCCAAGGTACCAATGCTAACAACCTTCGGAAGTCTCTCTTCACGCTCATAGATGCTTTTCTCTTGAAATCTTTAATCCAGCTGGATTTTTTTTTTTTTTTTGATTATGCTAGAGTTTGAACTCAGGGCCTTGAATTTGCTCGGCAGGCAGTCTACCACTTGAGCTATTCCGCTAAGTCCTTTTTGCTCTGGTTATTGTGGGATATAGGGTTTGGCCTGGACCTTGATCCTCCTGTTTTACACTTCCTGTCATAGCTGGGGTGACAGGCACACACCACCACATCCAGCTTTTTTCTGTTGAACTGGGGTCTCATGGAATTTTTTGCCTGGAACCACTATCCTCCCAATCTCAACCTCCTAAGTAGCTAGGATTACAGGCACAAGCCATTGGTGCCCAACCCCATCTGGAATTTTTTGTGGTATCAATTGACAAATTATCTCACTCTTTTTAATGAAAGACAAGACTGTAAATAGGTACAGTGTGTGTGGGTGGGGGGGTACTTGTGGGAAGGAGGAGGGTGAATGGGAACTTCATATACATATACAAAATAGAACAAAGAAACCTCTTGCAATTGCTATAAGTGGGGTGGGGAGGGAATCAAGGGGGAGAGATGGTGAGGGTGATCTAAACAATGTACAATGTAAGGCTATCCAGAATTGTCAAAGTGAATCCCCCGTACAATGAATATATCCTAATAAATATATGTCCTAATGAAAATGAAGGGAAAAAAAAATCTCTTTTTTTTCTCCAAGTGGTTGATTAGCTAGTTTTTCCTCATCTGTCTTCCTCACTGATCTAAGAGGTGACTTTTTTATGAACTAAATTATTACATGTATTTTTGACTTTTTGTCTAGAATTTTTATCCTCTCCCTTGATCTCTCTATTCCTTGGCTAGCACCACACCTTTAATGGTGATAGCTTTTTAATTTGTATGATAGTTTTCTCTTTCTTTTTTAAAATACCATTTTTTTCCTATTCAGTGATACATTGGTATAGTTCAAAATCCTGAAAACATAAAAGAAATACAATGAAAGTTGAACATAGTGACAAACGTCTGAGGCAAGAGGCTCACAAGTTCAAGGCCAACCTGGGCTACATAGCAAGAACCTGTTTTAAAAAACAACTGGGCAGAGTAGCACATTCCTGTCATCCCAGCTCTTGGGAGGTGAAGCAGGATGCCAGACTGAGCTATTTGTGAGACCCTGTCTCAAAACACCGAAAACATAAAAAAGAATATGTAATGACAAATTTTCCTCTTGTCCTTGTCCCTCAATCATTTTCTATAGAAAACCAGTGTCACTAATTTCATAAGTTTGCTGCTGTTACCCAGGTAAGGCGTCAGTGCTCCTCAGCAAAAGAAGCTTTTAAACCTGGGTTACAGGTCTTCCATACATACATAATGAAATACATATATATTGTCTAGTCCCCTATTTTAATTTCTTTTCTTTTCTTTTTTTTTTTTT